ATGCCACTTAACATTATAAAGTGAGTTAAATCATAAATTTTAATTGGCCGGTTCACTTATAAATTACCCTGACACCTTTCATAAACTTGATTGTTCCTTAAAATGCATGCCTTGAAGGAATCATAAAATAATTAATACTTGTAAATAATAATTGTCTGTAAGGCATGTCAGCTGAAAATTAAATTTAAAAAAAAGGAAAAAAAGGGGGTTACTTTGCATTGTAATAAAATAAACTTATTAGATATTTTTTCTTCAAAATTCTTACAGGCCATTAAACATGATTGTCTGATGGCGACTTTCCCATGACACTGAATTTATTTTAATAATGATGGATTAATAAATAGACTTCGACTTTTTCTATAATCCATGAAATCTGAAAATTTTCATAATTATATAATTTATTTTTATTTTTTCGTATATGAAGCATAAGGTAAATACGGTAATTGTTAAAAATTCAGACCTTGAGATTTCGATGAGTCCCAGCGTTTTAAATTTACCTTTGTCCGTAAAAGCGCATTTTCAAAATTAAGCGTGTCCGCCTGTGAACACGATAACTCGCGACGAGTGAAATTTGTTTTACTGTACAAAACCAAAATTTTAGATTTTCATCAACTTTTGGACGGAACCCGATAACAGAAAGTCTGTCTGTCCATGCACATGCGAACGAAATAAATAATTAACACAAAACTAAGCTGCTGAAATTTAGCTTGTGGTCTTGTATACGTAACTTTACGATAGATACCTGAGTGATTTTGATTGAATTTGGATGAACGAAGATTATTTTGTCTGGAGGTGGAAAATATCGGCGGAGTTCGATCATCGAGCTCCAAGAGGGTAGAGTTTGTACGTGGGGTGAAATTTTCAATTCCTTAAAAATCACTTGCAAAAAAATTAAATAAATAAATACTTAACATCACGTCTCTAAAATTGGTTTACTACTCAAAGTACCGTCGTTCAAAAAAAAAAAAAAAAAATCAAAATCAGCGTGAGTGGTCTCCTCTAAACTTTCTCGTATACTTTCCCCAAAAGGTGTCATTTCCCCTCCCCCGCGTGGAAAAAAATTCGAAGCTATTGTACCACAGAATGCTATGACTATCCACGAGTTTCCCTCAGCACGCGCCAAGGTCACGATATCGCTAAGCGCTCGGAAAGACTAAAAATGACCTTGAGTCATAGTAAGAAAATTTAATATGCAATTTGAAAGCCTTTTTTTAACCGAGTGAAACAAAAATTGGACACAAATCAACAATTAATATTAGAAGGCCACATAGCAAATTTCATTTATCTAAATAATTGTCTTAAAGAGTTATACCGTTTACAAGCCTGCGATTATACAGACCGACAGACAGTCAAACCTTTGACTGATGATAAAACTGTGTACCAAATCTTATCCATCTAGCTAGTTAAGTTTTTGAGTTGTCATTTTCTCATGTGCACGGACAGATAGATAGACAGACAGACTTCCCGTGTACGGAATTTGTCCAAAATGTGGTAGAAACCTCCAAACTATGTGTAAAGATCACATACCAAATTTCATGTCTCTAACTATAACGGTTTTTGAGTTATCGTGTTCACAGACAGACACACAGACAGACATAATTCCAATTTTTTTTTCGGACCCAGGGAGGTCTAAAAAGTGGAGATTCATCCAAATCTCGAGTCGAATATTTTAACGATTACAATATTTTCTCTTTGTATACTTCGTATACGAGAAAGTAAAAATAATAACTGTTCCACGAAATTTTTATACTCTTGTTCTTCCAAGATAATCAATAACAGAATGAAATTAAAACAATTTGATAAAATAGGCTTCACATAAATTCTATTATTTAAAGATTTCACAGATGACTTCACTTATTAAACTCTTTATTGAAGGCATATGGATGATCTTCAACTCCCGCTAGCTAAACTATAAAGAAATCACGGTAATTTAAAATAGACGAATTATAGCCTCATCATAACGATAATAAACAAATAAAGAATGTTACATTTATCGTAAAGACACAAATCAATATGAACAATATTGAAATAAGAAACAAACAAAGCATCTGGAGCGCGCTGCAAGCAACCAAGATAACAATG